ATTGTCATGTGTTTTTTGTTTCTTTAAAACAGTCACAGATATATTAGGAAATGGAATGCAATTAATTCTTGAATGAACGCAGGTGAAACTGATGTTGACCAGAAACAACATGAGCCATCCCTCCCTGTCTTTAAAGCCTTAATAGTCAGGAATCTGGCTGGAGTAATAAGAGATTTTGTAGGCGATTTAGAAGAAGATTTTTAAAATGGGCTTCTTATAAGCTGAATAGCTGACCAAGGTGCCCTTTTGAAAAGGGAATACCCAGTAAAACCACATTCTCACTAAGATTGCGAGGATCAGATTCTTTCTAGAGCACTATGCACATATAATTGAAAATACATTCCAAGAAAGCAAGATTCCTTGATGTACCTTATATATTTTGACAAAGCAGGAAGTTGCTTAAAACCATATCCCACAAGCTGGAAGAGCTGGTACTCCTTCTCGTTCCTTCATATGGGTAAAGTCAGCCTTGCTTTATCTGGTGCCTTCCAGGAGTTGGCTTGTGCTGATAGGGATTGGATCAGTTATCCCACATATAACTTTAACATAATATATTATTATGGTAAGTCATTATAGTTCATCCACAGCACAGGCAGTTTGGGACAAAATGTCTCCTGATCAGTGTCATTTATGTTAGATTTCCTCCTGTGTTTAAATGTCCCTCGGAACATTTCCAAATACGGGGCAGTCCTCATCATTTAAGAGTCTAACCAAATCTCTGGTGTTTAATGCCTTTTTATTCCCCCCTCCTGAATTAACCTTCAAACATCATGTGTTTGAAATGGTAACTCTGACAATTGCAGGATACTGTTCCCTTCCGGGCATCTTATGAGCAGATTTTATATGCAAAGTTGCTGTTGAAAATGCTACAACCTATGGGATTGGCTGAAGGCCCTTCCTGAAATGGGTTCCCTGGTATATTTTATTCCCCTGCGGATCAGATAAATATTTATAACTTTCTGAGATATCTTCATATTTAAAACATAGCTGTAATACTGTGTTAAGGAATGTTCCTCTTTTCCTTTTATTGGCCCCTTTCTCTTTCCCTCCCCACAAATCCACAAAGCCACAGATGCTTCATTACACTGATGTCAGTTGTGCTACAAGGTCCAGCTGTTTGTAGATGTTGCTAGAAAGTTCAAACCTAGTGTGTTAGACTGTAAATGCACATTGTGTTTATCATCATCGTATTACAGACCCTAGTAAGTGTAATTTTAATGGGGGTTCAGTAAGTTTAAAAACCCCAAGAGCATTTAATCTTCCTCTTAGTGCTCTTTTAATTGCAGTTTCCCCTGTTGTTTCTTTCCCAGAGCCAGTTCAAAGGACTCTGCCTCCCTTACAAATCTTCCCCCTCCTTCAGTTTTCTGTGATTTTTGGAAAAAGCAGAGCATTTTCTTAGTAAGACAATATGTATTTTAAGTAAAGACGTCTGAGTGGAAATATGCCTTTGTCCACATCTACACATCGTCAAGTCCTCATTTAACTTCATGCTTCCCTGCCAAACCACTGAAATCGTCTGTTCTGGATTCAGTGGTGTTATATGTCATGGCATGTTACATGGAACTGATTTAAAGATTAATACAAAAATAGAGTCCTTTAATACATGCATAGGGAAGTGGCAGGACAGTAGCGTAAAAGAATATTGAACTACACTTCTGAAACATGTCATGGTCCACAAGGCCAGCTCTCTTTTCGACCTGGAAAAGAATGACCTCAGAGAAGCTTTAAATATCAGATAAAGTGACTCAACTAAAGATATATGCAACTTATCAGTGTGTACGTGGAGGGGAGAATCTGTTTCAGCCTATTTATTATCTGTAATGAAACCACAGATAGTAAGCTCTTGTGGGGAAACAAAATCATTTAAGCAAGAAGCTATCTTGCCCATTCATAAAGCACACAAAAAGTACTAAAGATGTGTTCCTCCAATGGAACCCCTCATCCAAACTTGTGAAAGCATAATTTCAGTAATGATGCTTCTCGTATTTTTGGGTGAGGGTGAAAATTTTGGTGCATCTTATATACTGAATGTAGACCCACTCACCCCCACCAGAGACCAAAAATGTTGCAGTATGGAGGCCGCAATGATCTGTGGCAAACCCTGCAATCTGTAACAGCTGATTGGGAGTATTCCAGCAATCCTATCCATCCACCAATCAGCTGTGCTGAATCAGGCTGCACTAAGTTCTGAAGCTGAACTGGCTGGTCAGAGATTGCAGCAGCAATCACATTCAGAAACCACACACAAGTAAGCAGGATTCAAAATAATAATAATAACAACAACAACAATAAATACTCTCAATGCTACCACTGACAATCATTTTGAAGAAGATGAACTATGAATACGAACTTGCAAAGAAAGGACTGAAAATTTCACACTTGGTGTACATGGATGATTTGAAGCTGTTTGGTAAAACAAAAGCTGAACTGAATTTATTCATTGAAAGCACAAAAGAATTTAACCAAGACATTGGTATGAAGTTTGGAATTGACAAATGTGCAACAATGGCAACCAAAGCAGGCAAGGTCATAGAAGATGATGGAATAGAACTTGAGAATGAAGGAATGATAAAGGCAGTGAAACCAGAAGAAGGCTACGAGTACTTGGGGATTTTAGAGGCCTCTGACTTAATGCATAATAAAATCAAGGAATTAACTTCAGCCAAGTACGTACATTCGACAAATTTGCAAGATATTAAAGTCCAAATTGAGTGGAGGAAACATCATAAAAGCCATAAATACCTGGGCTGTATCTGTGATTCGATACTCTGCAGGAATAATTGACTGGACCCAGATGGAGTTGGACAATTTTGACAGAAAAGCAAGGAAGCTCATGACAATGAATCATGCTTTGCACCCTCAAAGTTATGTTGACCGATTATATTTACCAAGAGCAGAGAGTGGTCGAGGACTCCTACAAGTAAAACAGACTGTGGAAGAAGAAAAACACAGCTTGAATGATTACATCCAGAAAAGTGAAGAACCAATGATTAAGGAAGTAAATAAAGGAGGCCTTTTAAAGACAACTAAGTCAAAAGCTGAATATAAGAAAGAAGTAATTGAGAAGAAAGCTGAAAATTGGAAAAACAAAGCTATGCATAGTCAATACTTGAAAAGTATTGAAGGCAAAGCTAACTTGGAACTGGTTAAGATCAGGAGCACTGAAAAAAGAAACAGAAGGCTTTATTTTGGCAGCTCAAGAACAAGCCTTAGCCACAAACTGCATGAAGGCAATAATTCAACATGTTACCACCAACAGCAAATGTCGCCTCTGTAATGAGAAAGACGAGACAATCAACCACTTGATCAGTGGGTGCAGCAAAATTTCACAAACTGACTACCTACAATGCCATGACCACATTGCTAAGATCATTCACTTGAAATTGTGCCAAAAGTTTGGATTTGAGTACAGCGAAAACCGCTAGGAACATCAGGTTGAGAAGGTTTTAGGGAATGAGAAAGTCAAGATCTTATGGGACTTCAGAATTCAGACTGACAGGCACTTGGCCCACAACACACCTGACATAACAATAGTTGAAAAGAAAAAAGTATGGTTCATTGACATTGCAATACCTGGAGATGCACGAATTGAAGATAAACAGCAAGAAAAAATCACAAAGTACCGGGACTTGCAAATTGAAGTTGAGCGACTGTGGAAAAAGAAATCATGTGTTGTCCCGATTGTAATTGGAGCCCTTGGAGCAATACCTAAAGGGCTACCTCGGCACCATGTCCAAGAATTTTACAAGATACATCAACAAATTGCAGCAATAACACCAGCAGAACTGCAAAAAGCTGTGCTACTCGGAACATCGTATATTTTAAGAAGGTACTTGGTTGATACCTAGGAAGTTGGCAGCAAACCATATCAATCATTAGCACCAGTCACTGGTATTTGTAATACATTTTTGAATGTTCAGTTGGCTGAGTTTCATGTTTAATGAATAAAGTATATAATACCTATACACAATACAATACCAAAAGCAAGTTTTCCAAGGTTTTCCAAATACAAGCAAAACACAAGCAGTTTCACTTTCAATTCTCAGCTAAGCTAGGCTCCTTCCTGTCTCCTTGTTGCTCACATGGCAAATACTGTTTCAGAGTCCAAATAGCCCTCATTAGCTAACTTAGTTGCTATGCCTATTAATTGGCTGATCTTGTTAACATGTGTTCCCATTCAGGAAGCTAGCCAGCTGAATACAATGGATGCTGGTAGATATTTTTTTTTCCTTCCCAAAAACTAAGGTGTGTCTTATACTCTGGACCATACAGTTGTTTCTATTTACCCACTGCAAATGTGGAAAACATGGATTTGGACCTTGACTAATAAAAGCCACCTATTGTGCCAAAAAAACTTATTGCAGAAATATGAAAATGATTATTTTAGAAAGACATTTGTGATCAAACATCCTTATGGGTCAAGACAGAGACTAATAATATAGTTGTCTGCTTCAGATATATTCTAAACAATCCCATTCCCTATCCCCTTGCCCTACAGCTTTTTGAAAGCATCTATGGGAGAAGAGAAGGGACAAATCCTGTTCCTCAAAGCAAAGTTAATTCAGATAACATTGAAATGAACCCATGATTGTATATCTGCATATATTTATCAGAGACTGGTAGGAGCCAATCTTGGCTGGATTGTGCTCAAAGTTTAATATGTAGGATGTTGGGTGAAATTTTTCAGCATAAAATTTACTTCATATTTAATTAGTAAAGATTGGGGTGGAAAGAGATAGTAACAGCCTAAATTGAGTTAAATCAATCCATATGCAGTATTCAAGTTGTCACAAAGAATTTTATTGAATTATTCTATAAATAATTATCTCAGAGAATGATGGAAATCTATATACAGAAATAAGCACAGGTGAAGAATGAATCTTTCTATGTTTACTCCTCCTTCCAAGTTCTATAGGACCATGGCATTTTGGCACATGTTTGATTCTTTGTTAGTTTTCTTTTAGTGATTATTATATTAATTATTTATTCTTTGCCAACAGGTCCTTTGTTATCCAACAAATTCAAAATAGCAATCTCTTCATGGTAGTAGTAAGTAATGAATGTGACTGTGAATCAGTTTCACCAATTACCATGGAACCAATAGAAATAAGGTATATCCTTTTCTTCTGAAATTATGCTAACGTCATATGTTTGGATAGAAAGATTTAGCAAATAGTTAACTAGCACTTAGTGAAACAATTTGGAATTTGTTAATGTTAAATCAAGTGATACTTTAACCCAACCTATTGTTTGTCCAATTATTTCAAATAAAATGAAAATACATGATGTGGACCTCCAAATTTTGGATGTTCGTTAATTATGTAAACAAAGGGAATATCTGCAGGAGAAGTGAAGACATTAGAACATGGAGATGGAAAATTAGATAATCTTTCACAATGGCAGCACACCAAGAATATTTTTTAAGGAAATAACTTGCTTTCTTAATTTAACAATCCTTGCTTTATTAATGTCCAGATGACCAAACTAGCATTCCAGAGACAAAGAACAGGAGTGGACCGGTGAGGTAATACAACTATTGTCAGATAATATGTGTCAAATGTTGGCCTAGATGGCTTTTTAAATCACTTTGAATGTAACAAAATTCAGGAATTAAGCTATATCCTTAACTTCTGTGAACATAATGAATCCCTAAAATGTGAACGCTTAAAATCTCACAAGATTAGGAGACGTCCAGAATCTTGTCATGGATTTCATCCTGAGGTAAGTGCTTTATCCTAACAATAAAACAACTGCACTGGTCACACTTCTCTAATTAAATTCATTTGCATTCTATTTGCATCAGTTTTTCATATCTTATTTTTTTTCTATTTTTCCACTATCTCATCTTGCTCTGAATACTATATATTCAAAACTAAATGGCCAACATTATTTCTTTTGCCTTTGCTCTGAACATATGGTATCTTTTTTCAAATTCTTGCTCTATTTACATCTCTGTTTGTATGGCCTGATATTTCTCGGCCCATGGTCTTCATTTGCCCACTACATCAATTCTGGTATCCAAAAAGTAATCTTTTACTACAATACATTCTACCATTTTTACCTATTACTATTCCACATCCCCCCCCCCAAAAAAAATAACATGTGACGGGTGCCACATTTCTTCCTCACTTCTGCCTCAAAACAACAATTTTTTTTCTGTGAAACATTTCATGTTACTCCCTAATCCTCGTGAGCTATCACAATGAAATTAGCAACTAGATCAAATATGTATTAACAACATAAGCTAGATTCAGGTTTTCCTGTAAACTTTACTACTGCTTTCCTCAGCGTCTGACTCTACTCCTTTCACTTAGATTCTGATTGTAACAATGATAATTAGCAGACTGCCCCCTTTTTATACATGAATTTGTTCTCTGTATCTAATGAACTTAACACTGTTAGAACACTTGAATATTTCAGAGTAAATCAGAAATACAGGGCAAGTTAGAATAAATAAGTGTAATGATAATACTGTAATTTAACAAGACTGCGGACATGATAAACCATGTACTCTTATAAATTGAATTAAATTTTTCTGAAAGTCTTAGATAGGTTTAGATTGGGGTGTCAAACTCATGTCATCATGGCGTCAACATGTGGCATGTCACCTTCGCTAAACCGGGCGTGGGCATGGGCATGGGCATGGCCAGAACATGACCCATCCAGCCCACGGACCGTGAGTTTGACACGCCTGGTTTAGACTGACTCCCCTTGCTTTCCTCTTTCCTTGGAAACTAGGTGGGTAGGAGATCAGGAAAAATGGGGAACTGGATGGAAAGCATCAACAATAGGACAATTCTGTTTAGTTACAATTGGACAAGTATTGATTGGGCAGCAGGGTTCCAAATGCATGACCCACAATCAAAGACCAGTGAGGCATAACCTCTAGCTAAAAGATGAGGTCAGTGCTTCTGCTGCAGTTCTTCCATTAGTGCAGATTGCTATAGTTCCATTTTGCAAACATACAAAAGAGGCACTGATGTGGCAAATCCTTAAGGAATGAGAAGATTTTCCCTTCAGAGGTTTGAGAAATGGTTTGCCTCTCCCAGCTTCTCACCAGCCTCTACAGCTGCCTTTCATTTTAAAAAAAGAAACACTGGGAAATTCCAAACTTAGAAACTTCCAGACAATATGGTTAGGCATCAGAGGAATAGGCACTGGATTCAGTGGTATTTGGGGCTATAGGTAATCCATGAAGGTGTGCTGTAATTCAAGGTTTGTGGCCTTCATTTGTCTTGAAGAGGCACATACTGGTATTGTACAAGTCTTGATGATATTGTATCATATCTAAACAACTGATGATTTCTAAAATGTCCCTGTATTTGAATTTTGTGCCCACATCTGTTATATTTCCTCTGTTTCTCTCTGTTGGTGAATGTCTGTGGAGATTGTCAGCCATCCATGTCATGTTTGTTCCAGAGGTGCTTTTTCAAAAGGCAACTGTACTTTGTTTTTCCCTAAAAATGTTTTGCTTCTCATCCAAGAAGCTTCTTCGGTTCTGACTGAATGGTGGAAGATAGGAGATTTATATTCCTATTGCTAATGCTAATGACCAGATATGCAAGGGATATAAATCCTTCCATCCTCCACCATTCAGTCAGAACCCAAGAAGCTACTTATTTGGATATCACTCTGGATTTTGTGCTTGTGGAGAAAAAAATGAAACTTTGATCTTGGTTTTGTTGATTAAAAAGATTTGATGTTATAGAAATGGCTACTTATATATTAATATGTAAAAGTAAAAAGTTGAGGTTCGCGTGTGTTTATCTTATACTGTGCTAGGAAGAGTTGGAAGTCAATTCATCCTTTTTTTTCTCTTCCCTCTTGTATTTCACACTCCCTTTTCCCATTCCCTTTCCTTCCCTTAATTCCCTATTTTCTTTTCTTTTGTATTTTATACAATAAAAATTAAAAATGGTTTTTAAAAAAGAACTGAATGGATGAGAAGAGAAACATTTTAAGGGAAAACAAAGTCCAGTTGCCTTTTGAAAAACACCTTTGGGTCTATTGGTGAACATTGCTTTACTTATTGAAATACAATTATTTTTCCCCTATTTATTTTATCTCTAGGAGAATGCTAGAGAATGTGGTGGTGTTTCGGGCCTGAGGGCTAAGCCTACTCTTCTTGTGCTATCTCTGCTGTGGGTCATTTTGTCAAGGTGACACTGGCTGATCCATGATGCCCTGTTAAATCTATGGATAAACTGTGAACTGAGAAATGGTGCAACGAGAAGACATGAAATAAGTCAAAACATCAGCATTTCATGATTTTAAACAAATGGGATGGTATAAACTCTAAATTATGTAAATAAAAGACATTTATCCTTGTTTTTTTTTTGCACATCATGCAAATATGGATTTGCCATACAATAATCACCATTCATCAAGAACAGAGCCTCTTCAGTAGATAGATACAAATGGTCATTACTTTCCGCTTTACCCCATGGAAAATAATTTAAAACTCTGTACTTTTTAAATAAAGTATATTAAAATTGAAATGTTTTAGTGGATGATTTATCTGACATGGCCATTAATTGTATTTAACTATAAATAAATATTTTATTTATACTTATTTAAATATGTATGTATTTATTTATGGGATCAAGGAAAGATATTAAGAGAAGATAACACTGAGCATAATCAAATGGGTTTCAACCAGATTTTAATAAAGATAAGTGGGATTCCCTAGCAGAAGAAGCAGATGGGCAAAAGAAGTTCATAATGGGAGAGAGTTCTTAAAGAAAGAAATGCTAAAAGCATAATTGCAAACTATTCCAGGGAGGAGGGCAAAAAATGGGGAATATGTCATCCAGTGATGATACTGGGGGTGGGGAGAGTAAAGAAAATGGTAAGAATGTTAGGCTGTAGAGGAGAATTATAGGCAGACAGTCCAGAATTTTAGAAGTGCTGTTTAGAAAGTAAAAGAATAATGCCAGGTGAATGAATAATTTTAAAACGGGTTCTTTAAAAAGCTAATAAAAAGAAAAGGTAGAAAAACATCAATCTATTAGCTCTTCACTGAGAACAGCAAAATGTGAAAAGATAAATATAGTGAGTATCAGAAGTCAGAATAGAAAAAAATCTCGCCACCCCAAAGGTATCTCAATTTTTGATGGAACTCTTTATTATATTGTTGAAACACTGAGAATGTATTTTTAGCAAAGCTATGATATCCCCATGACATTCTGATTAGCTGGGTAATTTACATGTGGCTTGCTGACATGACAAGTAAATGAATACCAACCTGGTTTTAAAATTATACTCAAAGGATACTCATCAATGGTTCCTCATTAGATTGGACAGGTATCAAATGAGGTGCCATAAGAATCAATCTTCGGTTTGCTAGTCTTCAATATTTTTATTAATGGTTTGAATAAAAGTGAAAGAACTGCTCAGGTTTCCAAAAATCACAAAAATGGTTGGGATAATAGCTGAAAAGAATTAAACTTCAAAACAATCCTGAAAGGAACAGAATGAAATATAATGGAAAAAGTGCAAAATTATTACTTATGAACCAAAAATCAAATAAACAGATATATAGGGTGCTTGACTTAGTAACAATGGTTGCCATAAACAAAAAAAAATAGATCAATGTGGAATGGCTGCATAGAAAGTAAATGCAAGTTTAGAGAACATTAACAGTTGTACAGTTTCTAAATCTTGAAAAATAATTAGAGAAACCAGTTGATATAAAGTCAATGAAGACAATCAAGAGATCAGAAATTAAGTCTAATGAAGAGCAACTGAATCAGCTACATTGATTATATGATAATACTTTTCCAATACTTACTAGGAACTGCTCTTTCTTGTTTCAGAGGGGAAGATCCAAAATAATGGAAGTTACAAACCGGCAGAGAGAAAAACTTAGATTCTGACCTTTTTTTAAAAAGCTTGGATTAGCAACATATCTAGGTGTACATATATTGTTCCTCTCCAAATTAGTAATTTGTATTGTTAAAGTACACATGAAGTTATATTTTTTGGTTTTTATATTTCTAATATACAGTCTTAGTTCAATAAGTTACACATTTGTATACCAAATTTTTGTAGGGTTTTTTTGTGGCTTAAATATTTCCTCTCTTACTTTATAGTACATGGATGCTCTCCTCAATCACTGAGTTATTAACTTTCTTTAGGCACATGAGTAGTACTTTCATCTTCTCTTCTTACCTTACAGAAACAGAAAGATATTTTTCCTTTTTTTGAACTTCATGGGAATGGTCATGTTTTCCTGGACTGTCTTCTCTGGTTTAGGCCCAGTCCTTTCGGCAAGGAGACGGCTCTGGAGATCTTCCTTTCTGATTCTGCTTGTTCCTGTTGAGTTCCTCAGTCATTTTTCCTTCTTTCTCCAATGATCCTCTCCCCTTCTGTCTTGTCTGCTTTCCACCAATGATTTAAGTCCTCACTCCTTGAAATATACGGCACTCCAGGTCACCCAGAAATATGCAACAAAAACACAACTTTCCTTGACAAATCTGTTCCATATAAATGTGCAGTAGGAGACAGATGTTCATGCTCAAAGATGTCTTAATTAAGAACCTTCTAGCTAAGTACAGCACTCTTTTCATGCAAAATGCAGACTACAATCCTAACCTTGAAATCAATTACAATCCAGGTCCAAGTACAGCAATTCAAAGCCTTCCAACATCATGATTCTGCAATGTCTGCTAAATTCTTCAATACTTCACATAGGTAAGATAATAGCTACAATATATGTAAGCCCTCTAAACATGTCACATTGCTTATCTATTTTCTCATATTTCGAACTAAGACAACCTTCAGCCATGTCTTTTCAATTACCAGGAGTTATGTCCTTTCTTATTTTCAGACTTGTACTGAGTTGCCCAAATGTCTTTTGCAGCTGTCTCCCCACACACCCACACATTACATGCAGACACATTCAAACATCTGCCAATGACCATTTCTGATTTATGATCATCAAAACAAGTATTGTAATAAATAGTAACATATGCAAAACAACAACTCCCCTAAACTCATATATTCCAATGAAACTGTGTGCTTTACTTTATGGATTCTCGGTGTTCCTCAAAACATTGTAAATCAAAGCATCTTGTTCTCAGAAGAGGGTTGTGCTATTTTGACAGCAATGGAAGGGGGAGAGGGGACACTAAAATTCCAAGCAATAAAGCTGATCCACTTTATTGTCACTTGAATATTCAGCATTTTGGCATTTTCTTCTAATTTTGGAAGAGGAGAAGGAGATGATAAAGAAGGAAATGGTGAACAAAATGTTACCCCTCTACAGTATTCTGCCCATTTTTGCCCATACTTCCTAAAAAAAAATTCCCCTCATGGGAGAAAGCTAGTTATAAAATCTTAGACTTGGAAAGGATATCAAGGGTCATCTATTCAAATAATCTTAGTGCAGATCTAACTAGAGGATTTCTGACAGATGATCATCTTCTGCTTGATGACCAGAGGAGAAAGGATATCTGAGGGGCTGCCACAAAGAAGAGGGAGTCCAGCTATTCTCCAAAGCACCTGATGGCAGGACAAGCAGTAATGGATGGAAACTAATCAAAGAGAGAAGCAACTTAGAATTAGGAAGAAATTTCCTGACAATTGGAACAATTAATAAGTGGAACAACTTGCCTCCAGAAGTTGTGAATGCTCCAACACTGAGACTTTTTAAGAAGAGATTGGACAACCATTTGTCTAAAATGGCATAAGGTTTTCTGCCTAAGCAGGGAGATGGACTAGAAGACCTCCAAGGTCCCTTCCAACTCTGCTATTCTCTTCTACTTTAATTCATCACTACCCTTGGCAGCTAGCTGGCAGTTCATACATGCAGATGTCACTCCTCAGCTCTAGACAAATCTACTAATAAGAGTTTAATTCATTGGTTCTGAATTTGCCCTCTGCTATAACAGACAATAAGCTCATTCCTTCTTCTTTCTGATGACCTTTCAGTTTTTTGAAGATATGCTATGATATTTTCTCTCAATCTTCTCTAGGCTAACCATACTGAAACCTTTGAATCATTCTGCCCAGGAAGTTGCTTCTGGATCCTTTACCACTTTGATAGCCTTCTCCTGAAGTTGGCCCAATTTGTCACTATCTTTTCTGGACTCTGGTGTCCAGATCTGATCAGGAACAGAATAGAGTGGAATAGTTGCTACCAGAGATCTGGCTTCTACGCTTCTGTTAGCCTTTGCTTTTCAGAAGCTACATCACCCTGCTAGCTCCTGATTATTTTGTGACTGACAAGAGTATCCAGATTCCTTTCACATATATTACTGTTAAGCCGGATCTCTCGCATCCTATACTTTTGCCTTACATTCTCCTTACCCAGATACAGAACTTCAAATTTCTCCCTGCTAAATTCCATTTTCTTCATTTTAGTCAGCTCCTAAAAAAAATAAAATGTTGAGTAACTGTCTAGAATTGTCCTGATTAATATCACATTATCAGAGACTCAAAGGCCAAGATTATGAGTGTGTGTATGTGTGTGTGTGTGTGTGTGTGTGTCTACGTATATATGTATGTGTGCGTGTATATATGTGTGTATGTGTATGTATGTATGTATATGTATATATGTATGTATGTATATATGTATGTATATATATATATATATGTGTGTGTGTGTGTATATGTATATGTGTATATGTATACGTATATGTATACACACACACACTGTGGAAATCTACAGAAGTCTCTTGCTAAATTATGATGATGAAGTGCTATTAACAAACTAAAATGAAATGTGGCATGCATATGTGAATTGAAAAAAAAGACATTTAAATTCTTAATCAGATGGAGATGGAGATAAGTGGAGATGGAAACAAGAAGTATTTTTCAGCAAAATGACAGCCAGTATTTTAATACATTAAAATCACTGAGAGAATACAGATCATCACACACAAAAAAAGAACCACATAAAGCAAAAAGCTAAGGGCAGCATTTAAATTCATACAAGAGTGCCATAAAAGCTTTTAGTAATGGTTCACTTTAGATTCTTAAAGAGTGGTTTTAGAGAATTATTGGAGGGAGAGAAATGAGTATGTGATGATAAATGTGGAAGGATAGAAATGAGATGGTTCAACTTTCTCCCAATGAAAGAGTAAACTTTTATCAAGCAATGCAAAAGGATAGTTCTAAGGTATTTTCCAAAAAAGGTGAAGAGATTCACTTAAACCCTCCGTAGAGAACCACCTAGATTAAAGAGTTGTCATACTCCCTTCCAATTCATTGCCCACATGCTTCAGTGTCACTTTCTTGAGAATGACATCACTAGGCACATTGTCTGAGGAAAGGCACATTGATGTATGTAAAAATGGGATTGTGTCAGGTGTGCCTCCTTCAATATCCAAGAAGGAAAAACCTCAACTCCATTTGAATAGAGATAAAGGTACTTTTACTAGATATGAAATGAAAGCAGCAAAAGAAAAGCAAGATCTGAATCAAAAAGGCCTGAACATGTACATATCAAACGTTTACCCAGGACCCTCCCCACAATTACC